ATAACAGCAGATCATTTAGAGGTTTTGCTGACTAAAAGAAAGTATGAATTAATATTGTGATGTTGTTGACAAACTAATGCTTACATGGCTAGAGTTAGTGGAAGTGTAAAATTCCACAGAGGGACTGGAGAAGAATGACTTCATTGTGCACAGGTCAATCCACTTCTGAAGTGGTAAGCTCATCTCTGGGTGCCTTCATCACTTTCAGGTTGACAAGCACACTGAATGACAACTGAATAAGACATTCAGAACTGGGCAATGCTGTCACATTAGAAGTCATTGAAGGAGGTGAAGAATTTAGCCAAGAAAATTGCAGACGCCCACAAGACATAACAACTGTCTTTAAACACTTGAGAAACTATCATTTGAGAATCAAATTTAGATGAATCTTTGACATCCCTTTAGGTGCACTTTCTTTTTACAAAATGCCAGAAGTATTTCTTAAAGAACATGTAGCTGCATTAAAACCTCTGATTTTTAAAACAACTGAAGCAGAATAAACCTGGAACTTTAAAATGTTCTCCCAACTGAAACCTAACTCTTATCCATTTGGTTTGAAATTGAGTCATTAACTTTAAGGAGGATGCACCTTCTTACCACCACCTTCACCCATATCCTCCAGCAATGATCTCAAGAGCTATTAGGATAGATCTGTGACTTGTACTTAGGGGTTAGACATCTGTCAGCCCTTGAGATGGGACCAAGAAAAAGTTTTAATTAAATATTTGCCTTGACTGACAAGGAGGAGGGTATAGCACTTTTTCTATTTTTCCATTTGTTCTATAGATTGAAAGGAAAATGGATTTAATACTGCAAAGTTAATATTACTACTTCTTCATATAAATTTTTATTATATACTGCAATGAAGGTTAGACAAAAATTTTAAAAGAAATGATTTGACACTTTGCTATAGCAAGAAGCTATAAAAAGTATGATAATAAAACCCAGTGAAAAAATCTTACAGACACTGATTTTCATATCCTGATTATAACGAAGGCCTTAACTGAGCAGTTGCACTGTTGTGTGCCTATTCACCCTGCTGCTGAATTTTTTTTTTTTTTTTTTTTTGAGATGGAGTTTTGCTCTTGTCGCCCAGGCTAGAGTGCAATGGCATGATCTCAGCTCACTGCAACCTCTGCCTCCCGGGTTCAAGCTATTCTGCCTTAGCCTCCCAAGTAGCTAGGATTACAGGCATCCACCACCATGCCCGGCTAATTTTTTTGTATTTTCAGTAGAGACACGGTTTCACCACGTTGGCCAGGCTGGCCTTGAACTCCTGACCTCAGGTGATCCACCCACCTTGGCTTCCCAAAGTGCTGGGATTACAGGCGTGAGCCACCGCACCTGGCCCCTGCTGTTGAATTGATCTATTTATGACCCACAGAGAGCATGAGACTAATGAACTACTTTAGTAAAAAAAAAAACTAACTAACTAAATAAATAAATAAATATGCTGAACACCGTTATGAACCAGCAACAAAATGGAGAACATTATTCTTTCTTCACACAAAACCAATCTCTTGCTACACCTGGAGTAGAGAGTGTGTGTGGTCTGGTTGCTGGCTCTGTGGAAAGACAAGCACAGGGAAAGATGGCTCAGTAATACAATGAAGCCAGGAAGGGAGTTTGCACATCCAAGCATCATACTGAATAAACTTTATATGCATTATTTCATGTAAGCCTCACTGAAACCCGATGAAGGGAGGTACCATTATTCTCATTTTACAGATGAGGAACTGGGGCTCAAGTAACTTGCTCAAAGGTACTCAACTAGAAAGTAGTGGAGGTGGGACTTAAAGCCACATCTGTCTTGAGTCCAAGTCCATGCTCTTATCCACCATGTTCTGTGAAATGTTCACTGAATACTAAATTGTAGCACTTAGTCCATTCCCCCCTCCCCCTGCAGTCTTTATCTGGACAATCAGAAGTTCAGAAAGTTGAGGCTACTTGCCCAAAGCTGGTTTGCAGTGGAACTGAGGCTTGAACCAAGATCTCCTGACTCCCAGGTCAGGATATTTCTGCTGTGCCAAGGGACCATTCCATCTGAAAAGCTAAAAGTTGAGAGAGGATATTTCTAAATTCTAGAAAATCACAAAGGATATGAAGTGAATAAATTTAGAATCTTCCAAAACCCAGCAGTATAAAAATAACGGGACTAGGAACCATTCTGGAAGTTTGAGAGAGATGCATTTACGAGAGAGAAGTGTGATGGTGCACACATGGTAATGAGCCTGCAGGACTCACCATCCCTAAGAAGCTGCACAGGCTGAGAACAGAGATTCAATCAAAGTGTTAGGTTTTACTTTTATTTATTTATTTAACAAACTATATGCCAAGCTCTGTGTTAGGTGGTTGTTACAGCCTGAATTTTGTCCCTCAAACATTCCCATGTTGAAGCTCTAACATCCATACTCTCTCAATGTAATTGTATTTGGAGATACGGCCTTTAAAGGAATGATTAAGTTAAAAATGTGGCCATCAGGGTAGGCCTAATCCAATTTGGCTGGTGTCCTTAAAAGAAGCGATAAGGGCACACAATGGTACACAGGGGTGCACAGAGGAAAGACCATATGAAGACACTGAGAAGATGGCCATCCGAAACTCAAGGAAACAGACCTCAGAAGAAACTAACCCAGGCTGGGCACAGTGGCTCACACCTGTAATCTTAGCACTTTGGGAGATGAAGGCAGGCGGATCACAAAAAATTAGCCAGGTGTGGTGGCACGCACCTGTAATCCCAGCTACTCGGGAGGCTGAGGCAGGAGAATCACTTGAATCCGGGAGGCAGAGGCTGCAGTGAGCCAAGATTGCACCACTGCACTCCAGCCTAGGCCACAGAATGAGACACTGTCTCAAAAAATAATAAAATATAAAATATAAAAGAGGAAAATAACCCTTCCAACATCTTGATCTTGGACTTCTATGCTCCAGAACTGTGAGAAATAAATTTCTGTTGGTTTATTTTTATTTTCTGTGTAAGTTTCTGTTGTTTAAGCCACACCATCTATTGTATTTTGTTATGGCAGCCCTTGTAAACTAATACAGTGCTTTATAACTATAAGCTCGTTAATCCTTGTAACAACCTTTTGATATAGGAATGATAATCTCCATATTACAGATGAAGAACCTGAGGCTTATAGACGTTAAAAAAATTTCATCAGTGTCAATCACAAGTGGCAGAGTTGAGATAATCTTGAGTGACAGAAACCTAAGAATTCTAATTCAAAGGATGTCTGGGTCCTGTCTCCTACCTCAGCAAGCAGACTTCAAGACAATCTCATACACCTCTTTGCTTAGTGTTTCTAGAACAGGTAGTTGAGGTCACACACTAGCGTGACTATGTGTAGGCTTAGAAAATGATTGAGGAAGGCACCCTTGAATAGCATATAACATAAAGGTCAGAGCACTGGACTGGGCACCAGAACATCTGGGGTCAAATCCATTTCCTAGGGATCCTCTAATCTGATGTACTCTTTCTGTTTTTTGAGAAGGAGTCTCGCTCTGTTGTCAGGTTTGGGTGTGGCTCACTGAAACCTCCATCTCCCTGCTTCATGTTATTCTCCAGCCTTAGCCTCCTGGGTAGCTGGGATTACAGGCTCTCACCACTATGCCCAGCTAATTTTTGTATTTTTAGTAGAGATGGGTTTTACCATGTTGGCCAGGCTAGTCTCGAACTCCTGACCTCAGGTGATCCACCTGCCTCGGCCTCCCAAAATGCTGGGATTACACGCATGAGCCACCACTCCTGACCTCTTCTAATGTATTCTAGAGCAACTTAATCTCTAAATCTGTTTTGTAACCTACATAAAAGGAATAAGCTGCCTAACTTTTGGTGTTGCTTTAATTACATTAACATTTCACGAACCTTTTGGTGTTGCTTTAATTACATTAACATTTCACAGCATTCATCATGCTGTATTAAAGCTGTCTTTAGTATCACTAATACTTAGCACAGTTTCCTTGCATATAATTGGCCCTCAAACAATGTTGAAAGAGTCCATATGGAAGTTCTTAGCAAATTGTACAAATGTAAGCCACTTTGATTAACCCAGGGAAAAGCCGTGCTGTCGTGTTTTCTTTCTTTCAGCCCTGGTCCCTAAAGGATAGAAAGAGATGAGTCAAGAATCAAAATCATATGAAAGGTCACCACCTTCCAAGGACCCAGAAAGCTTCAAAAGAGATTACAGAGCAAAGGGTCGTGACCACCTGCTGAAGAACAGGGTTCAGGCCCTAACCTGACAGCTTCCATTCTTTATCTCTCTCCTGTGTCTGGTGACAGTTGTCCTCATGTCACCCTCATCTGTAATCTACTGCATTTTCCCAAGAGTACTTAATAGCAGTCAATCTGAAAAAGGCACCGGAGGTAACTCAGTGAACTGGAACAAAAGTCTTTGTTCATGATTTTCACTGGGGGCAGCCCCACATTCCTTTCCCCAAGAGCCATAATGGGTCCCTAGGACCAAACAGTCCACCTTGCCTTTCTGACCCACCATTCTTTCAGGGGAAGAGAGATGCTATACCCAAAATAAACACTCAACACTTTCTCATTGGTTCAGAGGGTATGGGATGCGCCTCTAGCAATCTAGCCTGCATTAGTCCATTTTCACACTGCTGATAAAAACATACCCAAGACTGGGCAATTTACAAAAGAAAGAGGTTTAATTGGACTTACAGTTCCACGTGGATGGGGAAGCCTCACAATCATGGCGGAAGGCAAGGAGGAGCAAGTCCCATCTTACATGGATGGCAGTAGGCAAATAAAGAATGAGGAAGATGCAAAAGCAGAAACCTGTGATAAAACCATCAGATCTCATGAGACTTATTCACTACCATGAGAACAGTATGGGGGAAACCACCCCATGTTTCAATTATCTCCCTCTGGGTCCCTCCCGTAATACATGGGAATTATGGGAGTACAGTTCAAGATGAGATTTGGGTGGGGATGAAGAGCCAAACCATATCATAGCCATTCTGCCAGAAACAAAAGCAGAATTCATGCATCCATTTATTTGTTTATTCATCAGTTCATGCATTCATCAAATGTTTGTTGAGTGCCTTCTGCATGCCAAGCACCGTTCCAGGGCCAGGGGAACAGCAGAGTCCAAAACAATAAGCATTCCTGCCCGCACACTGTGCAGTCATCACTGGGAAGAGACAATAAGCAAAATAAATCAGTGGAAGATGGAACTTTTCAGGTGTGACAAGTGTTATAGAGGAAAATAGACCAAAAAAGGAGGGTAGGGAATTCTGGGGTAAATACATAAAGATAAAAAGCAAGATAGGCAAACATCTGAGAGAAGAGCCGTCCAGGAAGAGGCCTGGAGCTGGGAGTGCCTGGCATGTTCTAGAACACAAGAGGCCAGCAATGCTGAAGTAGTGAGCAGTGAGAGAAGTCAGAGGGTTAGCAGGAGGCCAGACTGGATAGAACCTCGCAGGCTTCTCCTCTGCTATGGGGAGCATATGGGGTTTTCAGCAGGGGAGGAACCTGATCAAAATCATGGTTTTACAGGGTCTCTCTGCCTGCTGTGTTGAGAACAGGCTGGGCAAGAGGAAGGCAGCACAAAGGCGGAGGCAGACCAGTCGGCAAGCTGCTGTAATAATCTAGGAAAGAACTAATGATGGCTTAGAACAGGGAACAAAGTAGTCGAGGCAGAGAGAAGTGACCGGGTTCTGGGATGCATTTTGAAGATAGAGCCCACAGGCTTTGCCTACAGTGTGTTGTGGGATATGAGAGTAAGAGAAGAGTCCAGGAAGAACGTAATTGCCATTCGCTGAGATGAGGAAAACTATGGAAGATCAAGTTTCGTGGATAGACGACCCAAGAAGCTCATTTGGTGATGCTTAGCTTTGAGATGGCTTTAGATACTCTGTTGAATACATGAGGCTGACATTCAGGGGACAGATCTGAGTCCAGGGTATAAATTGGGAGTGGTCAGTATTTAGATGGATCCCACTGCCATAAGACTAGACAAAAACATTGAGAGTTAAGTGCAGGTAGAGGAGAGACCTAAGCCCTGCACAGGCCAACAGTAGACACCAGAGCTGAGAAGGAAGTAGCCAAAGATGAACTAGAAGGAACAGGAGGGAGGCAGGAGGAGGCCAGGAGAAGGCGGGTCCTTCTTTCTCCTCACTGCTACGTTAACCCTCATTTTGCCTTATTGCTGTCACTCCACCTCTGTGAGCTTCACCTCTCTCAGATTCATTCCTAGGTAAATAAAGATGTTTTCTATCACTGTGCATGAGCCAAAATAGATATTTACTAGGTAAACACTATTCCTTTAATTGGGCGATTCTTTAAAAAAAAAAGGCACACAGATCTCTGTTTGGTGTGTTCATTACAATACCTGGATCTGCTGGAACATCAAGTTACCCAGCTCCACGGGCTCCGTGGGCTCCACGGTCAAACTGCCAAATGGTGTTGAAGATATTCTCATGATTGTTGCTATTGTTATTGTTCAGAGAGGCTTCAGCCCTTGGGGCAGCCCTCCCTCCTTCCCCCTCCCACTCCCCACCCCCTGATCCAGAGGCATGAATGCTCTCATCAATTCACTTTGGTCCAGCTGCCAGGCTGGGGAACAGATGTTGCATTGTTAACAGGAAGGAGAAAACAAACAGCTCCACTCTCCTGTGTTCTCCCGCCCTCCTCCCCCATCCCCCTTTCAGTCCCCTGGTGAAAATGGGCAAACAATGTTGGGGAGAGGACGGGGTCCAGTGAGTAATGCCCTTCTCCCCACCAAGGCCGAGCCACGGAGCTCCTGACCGGAGGCACACAGAGCGCTCTCCCGGGCCCTGTTTACAGAGGACATGAGCTGTGTCAGCTGAGTGGGCTTGCCCGTGGCTGGTGACGTGAAGATGTTCTCACTGAGCAGAACATTGAAAGAAGACAATGGCCCTCTTCTGCATGTGGCCCTAGTGACAAATCTACCTGCATTTTAAGGGCAAAAGCTATGGCCAAAAGACAAGCCCAGGGCAGAAGGAAAATGTTTCTTGGCTGAACTCTATCTCTGTATGTCTTATCATTTCTCCTCTGGAGGCTTTTGAGAAATGGGGAGAATTCCTTTCTTCCCTAGAGAACACAGGGTTAGAGTCTCCCGCCTTTTCTCTCACTTGTCACACAGTCCCTTCCTAGCTGGGGAGGGGTAGAGGTGAGGGGTGCAGAGTAGGGTAAGCATAAGAAATCTAGAGTGAAGATTGCATGTGAAATAGTAGCATGGAGGTAAAGGGGCACACAGCCTGTCAGCTAATCTAAGGGGTTGAAACTTTCATTGAAGTTACTAGGTGGCAAGGAAAAGGTTTTAGGAAGAAGAGTGACATACAAGAAACAGATGACATCTCTGTGATAGATGGGTGGGAAGGGAAAGCTAGTCAAGAGGCTGCTATAGCAATCTAGGTCACAGACAACCAGAAGCCCTAAGACAGCATTAGAGATGGTTCAGCTGCTGTCAATGAGGCAAAATCAATAGGGCTTAGGAACCAATTGGGCATGGAGAAAGGGTGGCTGAGGATGACTACGCTGTAGAAAGAACATTAGTGGCTCTAAGCCTCGAAAGGTTATGTCTACCCTGTATACAACATCCACAATAAAAGTACTGTCTAATCATAAGTATAAGGAAGCCAATAAGCTTTGTTTTTTCTAGGATGGCATTTTTATTCTTTTTAAAAGCACTGCACTCTTTTTTGTTTAAGCTTTTGTTTTTTTTTTAATTTTCTATTTCCATAGGTTTTTGGGAAACAGGTGGTGTCTGGTTACATGAGTACATTCTTTAGTGGTGATTTCTGAGATTTTGGTGCACCCAAGCCCCAATCTGTACACACTGAACCCAATTTGTAGTCTTTTATCCCTCACTCACTTCCCACCCTTTCCCCCTGAGTCCCCAAAATCCATTGTGTCATTCTTATGCCTTGACATCCTCAGCTTAGTTCCCACTTATAAGTGAGAACATACAGTGTTTGGTTTTCCATTCCTGAGTTACTTCACTTAGAATAATAGTCTCCAATCCCATCCAGGTTGCTGTGCCATTAATTAATTCTTTTTTATGGCTGAGCAGTATTCCATCATATATATACATATACATATATGTATATGTACACACACACACCACAGTTTATCCACTTGTTGGTTGATCGGCATTTGGGTTGGCTCCACATTTTTGCAATTGCAAATTGTGCTGCTATAAACATGCATGTAAATCACTACACACTTCTGAAATAATTTTTTGGCACCTTGTGTTTGTTTCCTTGGTGTTCCAAGCCTGTGCTTTTTTTGTGCTCACTGGAGAATCCAACACAAGGAGGAAGTTTCAGGATTCACGTCCAGGCCACAAGGTAGATGGTGATGCTGCTCACGGAGGACAGGGATGCAGGAAGAGGAGAGGGGAGGTGGAGCGAGAGTGATGAGCTCAGCCTTGGACATGCTGAGTGAGAAGTATCAATGGAGACAGACACGGCCAGAAGGCAGCTGATTAGATGAGTCTGGAACGGAGATGGTGGAACTGGGCATCTCAGCGCTCATGCAGGGGGAGAGTCATGGGAGAGGATGAGGTCACTCAGGGTGAATGTGCGGAAGGAGGGGGAAGAGAGCCTGAAATGACACCAGCAGAAAATCAGCATTTTAGGGACCGGGCAGGAAAAGGAGCCTGAAGAGAAGTATCCAGAAAGACTGAAGAAAATGTAGGAGAGAGTAAAGCTGCAAAGGCCAGGAAAAGTGGGAATTTCACGGAGGAGGAAATAATTAACAGTATCAAATGCTATCAGCTGATTCAAGTCAGTTGCGAGAATGGCCAGGGCTGATTGGCACCACTGTGTTTAACAATAAAGAGGTCACTGGTGGTCTTACTGAGTGTGATTTCTGGGGAGCAGTATACGTGGAAGGGTAACTGAGAACCAAATGATGTGATAAATAAGAGGCAAATTTATACCATTAGTGGTAGCCGTAGAGGAATGGAATGTTGAGGGAAGGTTTTATTTAAAGATGGTAAAGAACACACTGGCCTGGTGCGTGGCTCATGCCTGTAATCCCAACACCTTGGGAGGCTAAGGTAGGAGGATCACTTGAGGCCAAGAGTTCGAGAGCAGCCAGGACAACATAGTGAGACCCTATTTCTACAAAAAACAAAATTAAAATAAAAATAGCTGAGTGTGGCAGTATGTGCCTGTAGTCTCAGCTACTTATAAGACTGAAGTGACAGGATCCTGTAGTTCAAGATTGTAGTGAGCCGTGATCACACCACTGCACCTCAGTCTGAGTGACAGAGTGAGATCCTGTCTCTCGAAAAAAAGAAAAAAAAAAAAAACACTTAAATACACTAATAGTTCATTTAACCTGCTAAGCAAATACATCAAGCCCCACTAGGTTTGGGGGCAAGGAGGGTATCTCTAATATATAAAGTTTTAGGGGAACATTTCTTTTTACACCACCTACAGGCTACAGATAATCAGCTGAGGCAATAATTTTACTTGGCTTGGATGTGGTGCTCTGGAAAGGGTGGCAAGCATTTATCAGGCACCTACTGTATATGTTAGTTAATGTATGAGCTGTCATATGGAATTCAGAAACAATGAGCTCAAGAAGCTCATCACCTCAGAGGCTGCAAATGTACAGTGTGAAACACACATTGTGCTTGTCCTACACCATGTTTTTCTACAATTAAACCACCACTTTAAAAAGTCGTAAAAATTTAGACATCTGTTCTCTCTTGAAAAACTGGAAGATCTACATCTACCTGGATTTTTGGTAGGCAGCAACAGACTGGAGCAAAGGGCAGCTGTCCCTTACTGACAGCACCTATTCTCCAGTTCACACAGTCCCCAGGGGTCTACTATCTGACTGATGGAGCAGACTTCAGATACATCATCCGCCTGGCCCTTGGTAGGCATTTGTGTTTGTGACCACAACTGAAGTCAATCTAAGTCATGAACTGCTACGTGCTAAAATGAGGGATGGCAATAACTATCTGGCAGGTATTCAAAAAAAGGAGAAATCAGTAGAATTAAATAGTTGAGCAAAGCTTCGTAGACTTAGTCTGACAGGCAGGTAGGATACAGGTAGATGATTGGATGCATAAATGGATGGATAGATGAAAGAGAAAAGAATTCCCCTTGGGTTCAGGAACAGACCAAATACGTTTACATGGCAGACTGTGGCTAGAAGAAGTAGCACAGATCAGGTATCTTTCATTTAAAATCTGAAAACTCAGGCCAGGCACCATGGCTGGCATCTGTAATCCCAGCACTTCAGGAGGTCAAGGTGGGAGGATCACCTGTGATCAGGAGTTTGAGACGCGCCTGGCCAACATGGAGAAACCCTGTCTCTATTAAAAATATAAAAATTAGCCAGGGATGGTGACAGGCACCTGTAAACCCTGCTACTCTGGAGGCTGAGGCAGGAGAATCATTTGAACCCGAAGACAGAGGTTGCGGTGAGCAGAGATCGTGCCACTGCACTCCAGCCTGGGAGACAGAGCAAGACTCCATCTCAAAAACAAATAAATTTTAAAAATCTGAAAATGTATTGTTTTCAGAGCAGGGAGAAGGCATTTCAACTTATCTGCAGGCAATGCTATTATTTCTCTACATGCATATCCTGTTACAGACTACTTCCTGATCGACAGCAATAATCATGGAGTGATACTGCAAGAAGCTGCTGTCTTGAAAATAAAATGTAAAAAACTTATAGCATCAGGAGTTCATATCTATACAATAGTTTCACTCTTTTGCTTGGCACAATCATATTGATTCCAATTCCACTGGTAGCCATCATATTCAAATATTCTTTCTTCCAGTCTTTTCTAGGTGGCTGTTGGTGCCCATCCCCAAAGAGGGTGCTCTTTAGGCTCAATGAACTGAAATTGCAGCCTCACATCCTGTCCAAGTTTCCCGGCTTCTGACAGAATCTGAAATTACCCCAAGGAGGTAATCACTTATCTAATCCCTTTGATAATTTCTAAAGTGAAACAAATGGGGGGGGCGTGGGGGGGAACCACCTAAATGACAGAAGGAAAAGCATTAAACTTTTACCACACTAGTTCATTGACCCCGTTTCAAAGTCCTGGCCTTTGCACTGCATTTCTTGTCTTATAAGACCAATTGTGTGTGTGGAAAAGCCCACTTGCCACCTGAGGACCCTAAGATGTAGCCCATCCATTGACAAATTTTACCTTTTTTTTTAGACAGAGTCTGTGTTATCCACACTGGTCTTAAACTCACTCCTGGGCCCAGGCGATCCTCTTTTAGCCTCCGGTTATAGCTCGAATTACAGGCACCCACCACTGCACCCAGCTCTGACAAACCCTACTGTTAAATAAAAACAATGAATTATAACATACTAGGGATAATCAAAAGCTTCCAGGAAGAAAATAGTTTCCATAGAAAGACATGATAATAATAGCAACAGACTTATCAATATCAGCATTAAAAGTTAGTAAATGAAAAAAATGTTTTTCTAAAGAAGTATTTTCAACTAATACCAACTGAAGGTCCCAATTAAATGTGAACATAGAATACAGACATTTTCATACAAACAAGACTTTTTAAAAATTTACCTCCTATGTATCCTTTACTAGAGATTTCTAGAGACTGTGACAAAATGAAAATAAAATGAAACTGAAATGAAAATCTAAACCAAGAAAGGGGAAGACATGGGATGCAAGAAATAGGGGATGCAAGAAATAGGGGATGCAATATAAGAGAAAGATGAAGGAAATTCCTGGAATGACCATGAAGGGAAGTCCCCCAAGGACAGCTTTGCTGCAGGCCTGGAGGATCACCCAAAGTGGAACAAGAGGAGAGAAGCTCCTGGAGGAAGGTCTACTGGGGGGCGGGGGCGAATAGAGCTGTACGCATAGAAGGCTTTGAGATGAATGTAAAAATATCTCCATTCTCCACAGACACCTGCTCTGACCACAGGGAACTTTATACAGTGAGGATGTTGAATGGGGTAGAGGGATTTAGCCATAGGTTAAAAAAAATTAAGGGCCAGGCATAGTGGCTCACACCAGCACTCTGGGAGGCCAAGGCAGGCAGATCACTTGAGCCCAGAAGTTCAAGACCAGCCTGGGCAACACGGCAAAACCTCATCTCTACAAAAAATTAGCCAGGTGTGATGATGCGTGCCTGTAGTCCCAGCTACTTGAGAGGCTGAAGTAGGGGGATCACCTAAGTCTAGGAGGTCAAGGCTGCAGTGAGCCGTGATTATGCCACTGCACTCCAGCCTGGGCAAGAGTGAGACCCTGTCTCAAAAAAAAAAAAAAAAGAAAAAGAAAAAGAAAAAGAAAAAAAAAAAGTAATAAGAAAACAAAAGAAAATAAGCAGGCAATCATTAATTACCTAAAAAATCAAAAATTGAAATTATAATCCAATACTTGGCTTAGCACGCACAATCTTTCAATAGTCATAATAATCTAAATGCTGAATACATTTGACTTCTCTGCTGGAGGAACTAGAAGCATATGAAAAGAAAAAGGGAGCAATAGAGATCTAAAACCTCATTTACAATAAAATGTTTAAATAATTTCAAGTTAGCCAGGCCCAGTGGGGCTCATTTGTAGTACCACCTACTCAGGAGGCTGAAGCAGGAGGTTGCTCGAGCCCAGGAGTTTGAAGTTGTAGTGCACTGTGATGCCTGTGAACAGCCTCTACACTCCAGCCTGGGCAACATAATGAGACCCTGTCTAATAATAGTAGTATCAAATTATTAATTAAACAACATCAGTATATTCTTTGAAATATGGAAGTATGGCTGGGTGTGGTGGCTCAGGCCTGTAATCCCAGCACTTTGGGAGGCCAAAGCAGGTAGATCACCTGAGGTCAGGAGTTTGAGACCAACCTGGCTAACATGGTGAAACCCCATCTCTACTAAAAATACAAAAAAATATTGGCTGAGCATGGTGGCAGGTTCCTGTGATCCCAGTTACTCAGGAGGCTGAGGCAGGAGAATCACCTGAACCCAGGAGGTGGAGGTTGCAGTGAGCTGAGATTGCGCCACTGCACTCCAGCCTGGGCGACAAGAGCAAGACTCCATCTCAAAAAATAAATAAATAAAAATAAAAAATAAAATAAAATATGGAAGTATATATCATTAGAAACAGTGAAAGATTTGAATGCAAGTACCTCTGGGGAACAGGACATGGAGGAGGTGGTCAGGAGTCTACAGGACTGCTAAGTGTTTTTAGCACATTTAACTTGTTTAAATTCAGGATCTGTGCCACTTTGATTAAAATTTAAAAGAGATCTAGGTGCCACTTTGGGAGGCCGAGGTGGGAGAATCACTTGAAGCCAGGAGTTCGAGAGTCGCCTGAGCAACATAGCAAGACCTCCATCTCTATTAAAAAATACATATATTTTTTAAAAAATTTTTAAAAATAAAATAAAATTTAAATAAATTTACTATCAGAATTAAATAGTATCCCTCAAACACCTAGTATCCCTATATACCTACCGAGGTGAATACATGGAAAGTTAACAGTTCACTTAGAGTCATGGTTCTTGTGTCTGGCATGTTTGTCAAGCCGTTATCAACCTGCAGTGGCAGCTGCCTTACAGCCAATCATCCATGCAGAGAAACTTTTTTTTTTTTATATATATAAAAAACACTTTTTATAGTGTGTTGTTTTTATTAAGTGGTCACATCCAAAGGGGTGGCGGTGGATCCTGTGGGGGAATGGGGCCGCCTAAGCCTCATGCAGAGAAACTCTTGCCTGTGTATTCAGGTAACAGCTGCCTCTGCAAGTCTGTGTACCAGAAGGAAAGAAAGTGGACAAGCTAGACAAACATAGGCATCTGTGGAGACAGATATTTTCACATTCATCTTTAACCCTGCTATGTGGACACCTACCATGACAGAAGTCTGAATTTTGGATCGTGTTGAAAATAACAACTAGTTCTAGTTCTCACCCTCATTCAGAGAGTCTGGACAAAGCTGTAGAAAAACAGAATGAATTCTTCCAAGTTGCTGAGATTTACAGTATCTCCTTGCAGAAAAAAAATATCAGTTAGTTAGTCTGAAAAACACTTCCTACCTACAGGTGCTAGAATGCTTCACCCTGAAAGGTAAGTTTAGATGGGTCTTAGATAATTCAGCTTAGCAATTCAACCAGGAGATCCAACCACCAGGTTCTCCTGAGGCCCATCCTGGTGGCAACTGTGCTAGGATGGGGGCAGAGTGGGTGGGAGCCCATTTCTCCACAGGAAATCCAGAAACCATCCCACCAACTTCTCCAGGATTAACCTTAAATGCCTTCGCCCTCCCTTAAATCCTCTCACTTTCTTCCTTTTGTCACTTCAAGCATTAGCTACATATCATTGTAACCCATGTTCAATACTCAGGAGGAAAAGAAGCAATCAGGAACTCACACCTTGGCTCACTTATTCAGAGACTAGGAGATCCAGAGAGGCAAAGGGACTTGCCCAAAGCTACAGAGCCATTTTGCAACAGAACCAGATGTAGAATCATGGATGGGGCTCCATACTGCCTAGCTCAGAGTTTAGCCTGTGACCTTCAGATAGACAGACAGAAATAGACGTCAAAGGCCGGACGCAGCGGCTCACACCTGTAATCCCAGCGCTTTGGGAGGCCAAGGCAGGTGGATCACGAGGTCAGGAGTTTGAGACCAGCCTGGCCAACATGGCGAAACTCCATCTCTACTAAAAATACAAAAAAATTAGCCGGGTGTGGTGGTGCATGCCTGTAATCCCAGCTACTTGGGAGGCTGAGGCAGGAGAATCACTTGAACCCAGGAGGTGGAGGTTGCAGTGAGCCAAGATCGCACCATTGCATTCCAGCCTGGGTGACAGAGCAAGACTCTGTCTCAAGGAAAAAATAAAGAAAGAAATAGATGTTAAAGCAAGGTCAAGATCTAAACACAGTCGTAATTCTGAGGACTGTGATCCTTTCACCACTCCAAACTGCCTCACAAATCCATAATAATAAATTAAAATAAAATAAAGGGGGAACTATAAAATCCAACAAATCAGAGGCTTACTTCAGCCTGAGCTGCCCATTTTTTGGGGTTTAAACAATCCATGCATTCAGCAATGAGTTATTGAGCATGTATTTTGTCCTGAGGAACTTCCAAATGGAGGTGTCTAGTAGAGAGGTAGGTGCTGAGGTCTAAGAAGAGAGAGATCTGAGATGGTGATCATTGTCATAACAAAGGATGAGATTGCCTGGGGAGAATGAATACACTGAGAACAGAAGATGCCCAAATCCCAAGAAGCACCAGCCTTAGGATGGGAAGAGTAAGGGAAAATACAGGGAACTCGTAGAATGGACCCTAGTCTCTGAATAAGCGAGCCAAGGTGTGAGTTTCTGATTGCTTCTTTCCCTCCTGAGTATTGAACATGGGTTACAATGATATGCAGCTAATGCTTAAAGTGACAAAAGGAAGGAAGTGAGAGGATTTAAGGGAGGATGAAGGCATTTAAGGTTAATCCCGGAGAAGTTGGTGGGACTGTTTCTGGATTTCCTGTGGAGAAATGGGCTCCCACCCACTCTGCCCCCATCCTAGCACAGTTGCCACCAGGATAGGCCTAAGGGGAACCTGGTGAGGACAGGTGTTTCCAGAAAGGGTCAGTAGGAGGCCACCCACTCTTCTGCTAAGTGAACTTAGTCCAGATCAGAACATGTGCTGCTCAGAGCTATGTGGTATAAAGGTTGGGCAAACATGCACTTTCACAGTGCTGAGGGCAAAGACCAACAAGACTGGGACATGACCAGAAAGAAAGGTTATCACATGCTTAAAGCAAAGAGAAAAGGCAAAGACAGTCACCTTTCATCTCATTAAGTGTGTTTTCTAAAAAAAAAAAATGTCACTTTGGAAGAAATTCCAAGTAGGAAAGTGGTGGGTCGGCCCAGGGAAGGGATTGGTTGATTGTTAGCTTTTGATTGGTCCAAGATGCAGGAGATTTTACGAGCAAAGAGCTCACATTCTCATCCCCCATGTCCCGATTACACCAGGCTCTCCCTGGAGGTTCACTCTGGCTGGGATTTTAGACTTGAGGAGTGTGGAGAGAGCTAGGAACCACGGCAGTAGGGCAGAAAAAGCCCAGGCTTTGGAGCAAGCAGCCTAAGTTTGAACCATGACTTCAATCCTTATCATTAGGGTGACCTTGTTAAGATTACATAAACTCCATGAGTCTCAGTGTTGTCATCTATAAACTGGAGATGATACTTACCTCAAAGGATTGAATGAGAGAGTATTTACAAAAAACTACCAATAGCTACTCAGCAAGTGCTCCATCACCTCCTGCTTCCTCCTGCCCACCTTACTTTTGAGAGCCACCCTTGAGTGGGCAAGATAACCCATTATCATGGCTTCCTCCAACTCCTTCCAAATTAGAAACATTGTTCAGACTGACAATGATCTCAGCATTTTCTCTGTGATCCATCAGTAGGTGAGATTCTACCATTATGTCACTAAGCTGTCGTACCCTGGGTATCACATGTTCCAATCATTGGGTATGAACTGGCATGCTTTTGTAACTCTCAGCTATTTACCTACTTCTCTGGGAAAACACTACCTTTCTAGGAGCCATCAGAGGTAGTGGAAACTTGATGTGGTTCCTGATCTTCTGTCCACTATAAATCCCTAGTATAAAGGTCCTCAGTTTAAAGACATACACCCATACCAACACACACAGACACACACAGAGTGATATGGCTAGGCAGCTGCTGCTGGTCAACATTAGCGAGATTTCCCTCTTCTGCTGTTGTAAACCACCAGCCATAGGTATTGTCCTGTCTTTTCTGGTCTCTCTCTCTCTCTGGCATATGAGTAACTCCTCATTTGCTCTTTTTTCCCTGAAGTTCATGCCCTCAAGCACCACAGGCAACCTGGATAAATTTAGCTCTTCTCAGGGCCTTTTCCTGACTTTGTTCCATGACTGTTGAAGGTTTGGCTGCTCCCCAGAGAAAGCTTTGGCCTGGTTTCCCTCCCTTGGAGGTCTCATTTGGTTCTGGTGTCTGCTATGCCACTTGCATAATTGGTCATGACTCACTACAGGCTACGGTATGTACTTTGAGAATCAATCAATTTGTGCTTTTGGAAGCTGAAATCCTTCATTCCAGCTTCGCATCCTTTGGATCTCCTTCCCTACGTTTTCCCTTACCCTAAACAGCCTGTGGCTACTGCTCATAGCTGTCATGCTTACTACCCATTAGGGCTAAGTGGGAAATGACTGGTTGGTGACTAATAAAGGCTCTTCCACTCTCTTCTCCAGGAGCAGGGCCTCAGATCCCGTGACCAGGATCCAGTACAGTCAGGATGTTCATTTAAAGTTTACTAGTTTGAATTGTTGTCGCTGAATATAGAGAGGCTGGAGTCAAACTACCTCTTTAAGCAACTAAATGAAAGAGAACTGCATGCAAAGGCCATTATGTATTTAGACGTGCTCGTCTTCAAGGATCCAAAGTAAGATTGATGGATCATGCTCAAGCTTTCATCATTTTAGTTACTATTTTCTCTCTTCAATATAGGCTATTGATAAATTATCCAATCAGCAAGTATTTATTGATCACCAGCTTTGTGCAAGTAGCTACAGGCATTTCAGAAGTGAAGAGCATCATTCCCAGTCACTTATGGGGGGAAAAAAAAGGTTTTTTTTAAAAAAGTGAATTACAAAGGAGAGAGAAGTCATACAGGAAATGAGAGCTATTTTAGGGGATGTAGGTGACACCTTTAAAGGACCTGACATGGACTCTGCTTTCCTGGGGCTTGCAAACTACATGGAGAGATTGAACTGACCTACATGAAACAGACAAGAACCAGGATCACAAATAGGAACATGCTGAGGAGGCTGTATGGAGGGAGTAGGTTTACACCAGACCTTGAAGGGTGGGAAGGATTTGAATGGATACAGGGGAAAGGAAAGAACTTACCAGGATGAAAGAACAGCATGAACAAAGGCCAGAAGAGAAGACTGGCACAAGTTTCATGTATGTGTATGTTTTGGGGAGTGCCTGTAAAAAGCTGGTCTTACTCCAGTAGTAAATACATATGGAGGGGGGCAGAAAAACAGGCTGAGGATGGTCAGCATCTAGGGCCTTGAGAGCTAGGCATGACCCCCAACTGCAGGAGCAGGCTCCTGTTGGGAAGGGGAGACACTGACCTTGTTCCTTGTAGGAACCACTATGAATGGCCTCTTCCCAGGCCCCATATTCACCTCCACCCCAGTTAGCTGCCCTTGCTATGGAAAACCACGTTAAAAAGAGTCTGTGAAACCAAAGTGATCTACTCCAGGCCAGTAAGGCGGTCCCTGCGCATGCCCTACTGGGAGGGTCTCTCTCAGCGCCTGGGGCTGCAGACACTTGTGTGTAGAGTCTACTACTTGGTGGTAGTCGGGGCCACCACAGGCTATGGCTTCAAGAGGCAGTGGGATAAACGGCTGTGCCCTGGATAGAAAAGTAACCCAGACACTACTGCTTATTTTCCTGGCATGCAACTGGGACCAGTGGCCCAGGTGTCACTGCTGCCACCCTGGCTGATGCACAGAAAGGAGGGTCAGATCTATTTTAAGGATCTGTTTGCCCAGTCACATTGAGAAACTGCTACTTTAAAAACAGCTGTTTACCAGGAAAGTAAAGGCCCCTGCAAAATAAAAGGTTAGTATACTATCCCTGGTAACTCTTTAAACCAAAGCAAACATCCAGGCAGGCCATGTTTGCACTGCACCCTTCTTGCTTTCTGCCCTTGGTCACTTGATTCCCAAGGTTCTTGGTTGATTTCTTCCTCAGAGTTAAGCTGAGAAAGAGCAAATGATAATATCAAAGCACAGGGATCTCTAGAGAGCAAGGGAGTTATAAACACACAGCAGTTCTATTGTTACTTGATGACTTTGTTACTACTGTTCTGTTGTTACTTTGGTTGGTTTGTTTTAGGAGAGTGAAGGAGTTTGATCAGGCAAAATCTGAAAGAATCTGGAAGATCTAAGACCTTTCAGCAGAAATGTGCCTTCTACCTTGTATTATCCATTTTCATGCTGCTGATAAAGACACATCTGAGACTGGAAAGAAAAAGAGGTTTAATGGACTTACAGTTCCACATGACTGGGGAGCCCTCACAATCATGGCAGAGGGCAAGGAGGAGCAAGTCATGTATTTCACAGATGATGGCAGGCAAAGAGAGAGAGCTTGTGCAAGGAAACGCCCATTTTTAAAACCATCAGATCTTGTGAGACTTATTCACTATCATGAGAACCCCACCACAAGAAAGACTCACCGACATGATTTATTTACCTCCCACCAGGTGCCTCCCATGACACGGGAATTATGGGAGCTACAATTCAAGATGAGATTTGGGTGTGGACACAGCCAAACCACATCACACCTGTATTTCAGGATTCTGATATTAGTGTATGGGAAGTAACATCAAATATGGTCTACAGTGATATTGTTCAAACTAGAGGTCCAAACCATCAAGGCAACTCCAAGAGCATTAAAATCAACATTTGGAGAGGCACCAAGTGTGGAGACAGTGTAGTGGCTGGCACTTTCTACAAACCGTCGGAGCAGTATGCTCCCAGTTTCTCCACGGACATCACTAAACCTTCTTTACTTCCCAGCTTCTAAGATCTGCTACCTCATTAAATCACATCAACTTAGGAAATCTTCATGAGCCCTATCCTGTAGAATTTCTAGTTTTGCTTAGGGCATAGTATGACACATATTTCTAATAGAGAAAACAGTACAATATATGAATACTACAGAATAAGTGGCATTTAAAAAATGCAGGGTGCAGGTGGGAGGTAGATCTGTGTGCCCTAGAGCACACAATGAAAAACACATTGCCTGTCATGGAAATTGAAGTCCTTAGCCTGACCTCCAAAGCTTTCCATAATCTGACACCAATCTCCCTCTCAGCCCTATCTCCCAGGACTCCTCCTACACAGTCAAACCAGACTTCCCCTAAGCTCACCTTGCTCTATGGCTGGGTTTTTGCCACTTAACACAATCATTCCTTTCCCCTTTTCTTCCTTCAGTCACTTCACACACGTCCAGTGATTCTGCTCTCCAAATGCTAACTAGGTTCCAGGTCTGGCTCGCATTTCTCCTGTTCCTTGAAACCTTTCCAGCCCATCCCAGTCCTCAGTGACCTCACCGTACTCTGAACTCACAGCACTCTCTGTCCACCATGCACACCACTCTTCGTACATCACGCACAGTACTCACTGCCTGGATGCTCCTTTGTTCATGAATGGGGCGCAGCCTTGTGAGGGCTCCGATTGGTTGCTATCTTGGACACTGACTTCTCCTTTGATCTCTCCTCATATCATCTCACAACTATATTATCTTCTCTTTGATGGCTTGCATTTTTGAATACTCTTCAGCTTCTAGCACAGGGCCCAATGCACAGAAGGCCGTCAATAACTATTTGTGAAACGAATGACAATACAGAAAATGATTTGATGCTCAATTACGTTTCCGCCTCAAGAGTTAAAAAGAAGGGGCTACATTTATTGAGGGTCTGTCATTTTCACTTGTTCAGCACTTTAACATCCATCTAAAATGTAGATATATTATCTTCAACTTATGTAATATGAAAATGAGGTTCAATAAGTTCAACATCAGTCAGCAATAATAAGACAGTTGAGAGGCAAACTCTGGTGTGCCTGACTTGGAATACCAGGCAACATGCACTACCTCCCACCTAAGCATCCGTCTGTGGGCAGGTTGCTGTAGTTTCTTCCTGTGAGTCTCTCAGATGACTTTTACTTTTTATTTATTTATTTATTTATTTATTTATTTATTATTTATTTAGAGATGGAGTTTCGCTCTTGTTGCCCAGGCTAGAGTGCAATAGTACAATCTCGGCTCACTGCAACCTCCGCCTCCCGGGTTCAAGCGATTCTCCTGCCTCAGCCGCCCAAGTAGCTGAGATTACAGGCACCTGCCACCATGCCTGGCCAAGTTTTTGTGTTTTTAGTAGAGATGCAGTTTCACCATGTTGGCCAGGCTGATCTCCAACTCCTGACCTCAAGTGATCCACCTGCCTTGGCCTCCCAAAGTGCTGGGGTTACAAGCGTGAGCCACCGTGCCCGGCCCATGACTTTTACTTAATTGCCCCATGCACTCTCCCTCCCTTCAAGCCACCTCCAAAGAGCTACTTTTCCTGGAACCACTGCATGCTTTCATGCTTCTGTGCAAATCCCTTGCAATTCCTTCAGCTGGAAAATCACCTTCCATCTTTTCTACCTGTGCTATCTTATGTATCTTTGAAGGCTCAGCTGAAATGAATATTCCCTCCATCAGGTTTTCTGTTAATGAAATTAAGTGCTCTCACATCTGAGTCCTCATGGTCCCAGTGCCTCTTCCAGAGTTTAGAACGCATTTGATTTTCTTTCAAGTTCCAATCAGTTGTTTACCTCTCTGCTTCCTCTCTTAGGCTGTAAGCAACCCAAGGGCAGGGAACACACTCTCTTCATTTCTGTAACCTGGGCCTTGCACAACAGCAGCAGGGTATCCCAAAAGTCTTTGGTGGTGCAGGTGGCTGCTGCTTGCCAGTGCAGAGAATTGATTCAGTCACGTCACACACCTTCAGTGATTCTGCTCAGGCAATAAGCCACTGGGATACCAATGAAAGACAAAGAAAGGAAGCTCCAAGCCGACTTCCTATGTCAGTTCCCAATGTGCAACCCAGGGGTTTCACCTTGAAACCATGTAGTCTCCAGTTTTAAGTGATTCAAGAATGTTTTGACCTCCCTTCTTAATCTAATCTATGGTTTCCAAGATAGTTAATGCCTCAGAGAGAGGCTGTCACAAGGGTCCCTGTTCTTTAAAGTGCCAAGAAAAAAAAAATGGTTAGATAGATCCTTTGTAGCATGCCTTTCGTAGTAAGGTGTAACCTCGAGGTTTGAAAAATGAATGAATGAGGCCAGTGTGGTGGCTCATGCCTGTAATCCCAACACTTTGGGAGGCTGAGGCAGACGGATCACTTGAGGACAGGAATTTGAGACCAGCCAGGCCAACATGGCGAAACCCCATCTCTACAAAAATTAGCTGAGTGCTGTGGTGTGCACCTGTAATCCCAGCTACTCCCAAGGCTGAGGCAGGAGAATCGCTTGAACCCAGGAGTCGATGGCTGCAGTGGACTGAGATTGCGCCACACTGCACTCCAGCCTATATGGCAGAGCAAAATGCCGTCTGAAAGAAAGAAAAAAAGAAAAGGAGAGAGAGACAGAAGAAAGAAGGAGAAAGGAAAATAAAATAAAAGAGAAAAAAAAGGAATGAATGATAAACATGCTATTTAAATGAAGAAAAAGGATATTTGTTTGGTTTGCCTTATAGAGTTCGGCCCCTCCGAAGATTCTAAGACAAATTACATTTAACGGTGGAGACTGAACTTCCTGCTGAAGAACAAGCAACCATAAAGGGATTAGCAGCTCAGCAGCAGCCCAGTAACACAACCAGTGACAATCTGTACACCAAGTTTCTGTGGCATACTGCTCCTTGAAGGCAGGGCTTGAAAGCTTTCATTCTTTTTCTTCCTTCTTCCTCTTCCTCCTCCTCCTTATTCCTTCCTTCCTCTCTCTCTCGCTTGCTTCCTTGCTTCTGCTTCTTCTTCTTCCTCCTCCTCCTCCTTCTTCTCTCAGCAGATCAGAAAATTTTAATTCTACATTCCCAGTTCTTAGCACACAGCCTAAGACGCAGAGACACTTGGTACATATTTGCCAATGGATACTCATACTTGCTTTTCTTTCTCTCCTTTTTTTAATTTTTCTGAGACAGGGTCTCACTATATTGCCCAGGCTGGTCTTGAACTCCTGGACTCAAGCAATTCTCCTGCCTTGGCCTCCCAAAGTGATGGGATGACAGGCGTTAGCCACCACACTGACCTTTTTATCTTCCATCTTTCTCTTTCTTTTTCCTCCTTTAACATCTCCTTCCTGCCCATTCAGGACCTGTTGAGCCTGCATTACTAAAAATAACTAGGGCCCTAATTACTAAAGGTGAGTGATTACCTTTCCCTTCTGTACCTTTGTCCTACCCGCCTCCCACCCCATCCTCACAGGCAATACATAGATACTCTTTGTGAAATATTAAATCCTATTTTTTAAAAAACTGATGGTTCCCAAACTGGGCACAGTGGCTCATGCCTGTGGGAAGCTGGGGCAGGAGGATGGCTCAATGCCAGGAGTTCGTGACCAGCCTGGACAACAAAATCAGATTCCCATCTCCAAAAAATAAAAATTAGCTGGGTGTGGTAGTGCATACCTGTAGTCCTAGGTACTTGGATGGCTGAAGCAGGAGGATCTCTCGAGCCCAGGAGTTTAAGGCTGCAGTGAGCTATGATCACTCCACTGCACTCCACCCTGAGGGACAGTGCAAGACCCCGTCCCAAAAAACAAACAAACTAACAAACAAAAAGCAAAACCCTGATGATTCCCTCATTTTCTGGATGGCTCAGAACGATCGTATGCCTCTTGGGTAATCCAGCCCTTCTATTTCTTCATCTTCACCCTCATTTTTCTACTCACTTCTTTCCTACTTCCAGTGGTCTCAGTCCCTGGGTCGTCGGCTGCTAACCCATAAAGGTGAGAAACACGACCCTTGGAGTCTTAGAGCCATTCCTTGGGACACTCCCTTGAAGCTCGTGTGGGATTTCTTTTCTTTTTAGATGAAGTTTCACTCTGTCGCCAGGCTGGAGTGCAGTGGCACCATCTCGACTCACTGCAATCTCCGCCTCCCAGGTTCAAGCAATTCTCCTGCCTCAGTGTCCCCAGTAGCTGGGATTACATGCATGCACTACCATGCCCAGCTAATTTTTGTATTTTTAGTAGAGACAGGGTTTCACCATGTTGGCCAAGATGGTTTCGATCTCTTGACTTCGTGATCCGCCCGCCTCGGCCTCCCAAAGCGCTGGGATTACAGGCGTGAGCCACTACGCCTGGCCTCGTGTGGGATTTCTTTGAGACGGGTTCATAGCTGCTGTTGGCTGCCCTCCCCACCTACACTCCACTATCCTGTCCTATGCCAGTCCCAAAGAACCCGAAAGACTACCTCTGTCCTGGCTCTGGAGACTGGACACATAGGCTGTGCTGGTGGCCTTCGGGGTGTGCTAGCCACCATCACTGAGGAAAACAGTGCATTCTGTTCTGGAGTATGTGCCAGATTAAGGGCAACCCAGGGAATCTGGAATATAAACAATGATGTGGGAACATAATGTTGGCACTCTCAGGAAAACAGATAAAATTCCCTTGTCCAATCCAGTTTTATTTTTTGGAGACCATTTTACTTTCTTGAGCATCAAAACATACACACGCATAGGGTTTTTTGTTTTTGTTTTAAGACAGAATCTCGCTCTATCGCCCAGGCCAAAGTGCAGTGGCAAGATCTCGGCTTACTGCAACCTCTACCTGCCACCCCCTGTCCCCCTGCTGCCAGGCTGAAGCAATTCTCTTCCTCAGCCTCCTGAGTAGCTGGGACTACAGGCACATGCCACCACTCCTGGCTGATTTTTGTATTTTTAGTAGAAGCAAAGTTTCACCATGTTGCCCAGGCTGGTCTCAAACTCCTGACCTCATGTGATCCACCCGCCTTGGCCTTCCAAAGTGCGGGGATTACAGGCATAAGCCACCTCACTCTGTCACCCACATAGTTTTGAACCCTGGTCCCACCTGTCAGGTAGCTGGTTCACACTCCATCCCAGAGGAAGCTCTTAGGTCAAGGGCTGGGAATTTCGAGAGGGGCAACGAGTAGCTGGAAGCCATGTTCCCATGCCCACCTCTTACCCAGCCTCCTGCCCCACATCCTCCCCACAGATCTCACGTAAAGGGCCTGTGCCTTGTAGTGAGGGGTGTTTCATCTACCTGCCTTCCTGATAAACTTTCAGACAGAAGTATGTATGTGTGTGTGTCTGTGTGTGTATCTATGAGAGTATGTGTGTGTCTGTGTGTGGTGTTAAATGGGGATGTTAATATAGTCAATACTAATTCCTAGATAAGAACATTGTCTTCGTCAAGACTAATTCAATACTAATACCTAGATAAAAACATTATCTTAATCTTGGAAGGTGAATACCTATTCATTAAATGATCATTGCTTTGGAAGAATTTTTAATGGGTAATACTCAGAAAACAATGCCAATGTGGGTGGGGAGAAAAGCAGGACCTCAAATAGACACCATGTGTTACAAGCAGAGATAGAGATAAAGATAGGCGTTGAACAAAGAGAGAAGGAAATACACCAAAATGCCCAGAGAGGTTTTCTCCAGGTTTGGAGTCACAGTGATCTTTGCTTTCTTCTTTCCTGTATATCTCTGTGCTGCCCAAGTCTTTTACTGTGAGCAAACGTGACTCTAGTAATGGTGGGGATCAATAATTTTTTAATTTGTTTTTCAAATGTAGAACACTTTGCTCTGCCTCCCAGTG